TTCATTCAATTGATTGAGTGTTGTGTCTCTACTCTATCAATGCAACTTTTGTGGAATGACAGCAAAGCAGACTCATTTATCCTTACTAGTGGCATTAGGCAGGGTGATCCAATATCTCTAACAATGTTAACCATGTGGCCAGGGCTTAAATAAGTGAAGAGTTAGGGTTTTCTCGAACTGATGATCTTAATAAATGCTTGAGTATCTCGTTGTATCACAAATAGGTATCTAAAGAGACATACCAACAATTTGTGATTGACAAGGTGCAGAATAGATTTGTACATGGAAGGTCAATCTTCTTTCTCTAGCTAGGAGACAAACTCTTGTTCAATCTATTTTATCATTTATTGCTTCATATGTTGTGCAAAAAACTCTATTACCTATTAGCTGCTATAAAGAATTAGACAAAAGTTCTAGGCAATTCCTTTAGGTCTCCTCAGAAGCTAAAAAGAAATGTCATCTAGTTGCTTAAGAGAGGGTTTATGAAGAAAAGTGTAAAGGAGGTTTAGGATTAAGACACGTTAAACTCCAGAATCAAGCTTATTTAATGAAGCTTGGATAGGGTTTGGTGAATAATTGTGATGCATGATGGGTTAAAGTTTTGCGAGGTAAGTATAGATGTGGTGATAATCTTTTACCAACTATCAATGCTAAGCACCAAGGATTGAAGGTATGGAGTGGGTTAAAGACTACATGGAATCGTACAAAACAGTTGTGAATAGGCATGGAGTTGAACGTACCTGATGGCATTATTAAAAGCATAGGGATTTTTCCCTTAAATTCACATATTAGGTTATGTGTCCTAACATAAATTAGCAAGACTTTCTTTGGTCTAAGTTATGAAAGTTGCAACTCCCTCATAGATGTAGAATTCATCTTTAGTTAGTTAGACATGGGCGATTGTTAACCATTAAAGCTAAGTTTGAAGAGGGCTACATTTTATAGGATACTGTGACATGTGTTAAAATGTTAAGGAAGACATTATTCACATGTTTTGGGATTGTGTGTGGGCAAAGGAGGTTTGGCTTTCCTGTAATACATCTTATTTTGTGACCAATTTCTGGAATTTAGAAGGCACCCACTGGTTAGAAGCTAACTTGCGTTGTTTGAGATGCTTAAATGAATAGAGATGGATTGAGTTTTTTAGAGTGGCATGTTGTTTTCTTTGGCATTATCGGAATGAACATATGTTTCTTCATACCACCAATACAGCTAATGCTTGCATAGCAGAGGCACAAGACATCCTCAAGTGTGTTGCTTGATGCAAGGTTAAGGGATCAATAGAGGTACAACGGTGTGAGTGTAATAGCCAACTCAAGAGCCTTAATGACATAACTAGGGGTGGGGGACGTGTTTATGTGAATGGGGCGTTCTCTTATACAACACGAGCTAGCGGCTGTGGAGGTGTGCTTTTTATGTCGTTTAGTTAGATTGAAGAGGCATTCTCGATGTGTCTTAGCGAAGAGGACAACCTATCATTTGAATTATGGGGTTTTAATAGGACTTCATCGTGTATAGGATAAAAATATTCGGTGTCTCAAGCTATTATGTGATTCCTTGGAAGCTGGTGAGCTAGTATACTTTGAGGTTTTTGACATGCAAACTTGAGATCATGACTATATTTTTAGAACACAAACTTGAGATCTCTAATTAAACTGATAAAACCTTTACAAATTGAATCAAGTGCTAAATGGTTAAAAAGGACTTAGGCAATATTTTGTGAACTACAACTCAAAGGCTTTAGACTAGAACTTAGTATTTTTAAAAAATAATCAAATGTTTTGTCAATAAAGGTGCATTTTTTCCTCTAAACTATTCTTTGAGGAAAATCTAATATCTTAAACCATTTGTCATAGCATTTTTACCCCTGAAGTAATTAAAATGTAAAATTTTCTATCCTAATGTTAAATATCCAAAACGTTCATTAGTTAAATATTCTAAAAAAAATTGGTACCTATGAGGAAATGACTAACAGACATTTATAGATATTCAATGTTATTGTAAAAAATGATACGTTTTAATTACTTAAGAGATAAAAATGCTTCAACAAATAATTTATGACATTTGATACATTTTGAAAAATAATTTTTGAGCAAAAATGTACGTTTACATAAGGTTTGTTACCATTCTTCTTCTTTGTAACATACTTCATGAGAAAGCCTTGTATCTTCAAAATCCATCTCTTAAGTGGAATGTCTATCATGACATTGAAAATGAATCTCTCAACCTTTGGCAACTTCAACTTTAGAAGAATGGATTAAGAGTGGTTTTACGTTTGTTTTATATCGAAACGCAAAAACACTTTATAGTTGAAGAATCAAAGATTTGTTTTCTAAAGATTTTTTATAAACAATCAACTCTTCTCATCTTTAGTTGCTAAATAATTTTATTTGTTGGGGGTAAAATTAATTGCTAAAGATTGTTGTAGCATGGTCGCTGCTTGCTTCATGGAGCCATAAAATTTTGAAAAGTTGGGCCATGAAGTAACGGGCTAATGGGCCGAAGCCCGTCATGGAGTCATGAAATCCATAAGGCCAACGCTTTATATCCTCAACATAAATCCATAGGCCCAACGTTTCAGAGTTGTCCTGGAGGTTAATTTGTATCAGAATCACATTCCAATCCCTCTGAATAAGTAGCTTGATATCTGTAGGAATATCAGAGTATTAGTGTGATTAGTTTTAATTACATTAATTAGTTGGTGACCCTAAATTCAATATAAAAGGTGTCTTATTATGTCAGAGGTTTGGAAGGTTGTAGCTCACCTCAAGATAAAAGTTAATCACTCATTGTTTGTAATCTCTCAAAGTTGGGTTGTATTGTTTTGTAAATCACCGAAGAAGGGTTTATTATCTTCATTATCATTTGCTGAGTTTGATTAATGAAATATTTTTACCATTATCATTTTGTTGTTAATACTCTTCTCTTAATTTTCTCAACAATATCTCTTATAATGGTCTCAACAACATGAAGAATCTGATCCAGTCAAATAATTACATTGAAAAATAATTTTTTATATAAATCATTTTCCATTACCTCATATTGACTAAAGACAAGCAACTAACGTCTCTAAAGAGAAAAAAATATTTTTGAAAATACTCTTCATTATAAATAGTTGTCCCTCCTAAGGAGGAATGAATCCTATAAAACATAGTTAGTCAAGTAATCTTTTATTTATTAAGAAAATTTTGGGATAAGCACATTAATTATTCTTAACATTCTCACACTTGTTTGGCTAGAACTTAAATTTAATTCCAATTTGAAGGAACCTAGTGAGTCATGATCCATTTCCTTCAATCTCAATATTCAAAATTTTTCTGTCATATATTGAGGTAAAAAAGTTTGTGAGGAGCCAGCATCCCCCCACACTTAAATCTGTCCCTGTGATTCCATTTTTCAAATTATATATTACTCCCTTCAAACCACAATATAAATTATTATTAATTAATTTATATTTCTGAAAAAAAGTTGATTAAAATATTAATTTTTTATTTTCTAAAAATTCTAACATATTTCTAATTGTATTTTTTAATATAGTAAATATAATATTGAATTTATTCAAAACACCCTAATTAGTTACTCAATAAAAGGAGGATGTAATTGGAAACAATATATATATATATATATATATATATCAACACGGAAAAATTTTATTAGTCTAAAATATACAACATTCAGTAGATGTTATATATATATATATATATATATATATATAAAAAAGACACTGATATAAAAGTTAATCGTAGAAATCGTAATAAAATGATCGTATTGATTGCAAACAAATTTCAATACCTCTCCCAGACATTCTTCTCTTTGGAAGTCCTGAACAAAGGGTTTGGTGGTGCTGCTTGGTGATGGAAGCCATGTTGACTTCAAGTCAATCTTTTTGACTGATTTTTCCGTGTTGAAAGCAAGCGAAATTATTGCAGTTTGGAATGTGCTGAAGTGGAACCACAGCAATTTTTTTTTCTTTTGACCTTAAAGCCCACCCACCCCACCTAAGTCAAAGTCAAGTATACTAACTTTAATTTCCTTGTAACTTGTAATATAAAGATTTTCTTTTTATTTTAAAAATTACATGAAATAAAAAAGATCATATTAGACCAAGAGATTTTCTTTCTTATTCTTTCATCTGTATGTTAAAAATGATCCTCCTTAACAAAAATAAATTTAGTAATTAAATAAATATGTTGGCTAATTTTTTTATAAACACAATAATTTTTCAAAATTTTAAATCATATTAACAAAATATTAATTTTGATCGTTTTGAAAAAATGATTATTGTTGAGAGAATTTTAGCTAAGCATATAAGAAATGGGTTGGAAAAATATTACTTTACACCTCATCTAAAAAAGTTCTATGATTAGCTTAATGTTTTCTAAACAACTCAAATATTAAATTTAACTAAAATCATTTTTTTCCTTAATTTTAAACAAAATTGCCCTTAATCAGCTGGTCATTTTAGCTTAAATTCATGGAAATTTAGAGAGAGAAATTCAAAAGATTTAAGTCCCATTTTCTTAATATTTAATTACTTAATTATGAGACCTTGACTTGTTAAGGGAAAAATGCGTTCGTCCCTAATTTTTGAGTAAAAAAGCAAGTGGGGTCCTCGCATTAATATGAGGAACATTTGAGTGAAGAGGGAAACTTCCTTTGCACGACGCATTGTCTTCACGTCTTCGCAACTCGGGCGGCAGCGTCTTCGTCTTCGTCTTCGTGGGAATATTTTTGCGTTTGCAATTATTTCTCTCATCGTGGGGTAGATAAGCACACAATTTCAAAGAAAAAAAACAAGGTACTCAAAATCCAATGGGTCATTCAACCGGTTTAAAACATTGATTTAAGAGTTAATAATAAAATTGTCATTGAACCATGATTAAACAGATAATAAACAAAATATTTTATTATACCGATTAATGTACTATTAACCTGAATTTTCATATTATGGAAAATAGTCACGATTTTGAATAATATTTTATAACAATTATCAAGTAAAATAAAGCTAAGAAGAAACTTTGTTTATTGATTTTACTACACTCTGTGACCAGTAGAGTGTGTGTTGAGTGACATTTTAAGACTAGAAACACACTTAATACTGACTTCTAAACTATAGATCTAAACTTGTCTCAAAAGCATCATTATCAACTCAGATAACTAATAACCGTAATTAAGGGATATACTTAAAAGGGACAACACATAGATCGTTCTTCCTTCTCATTGTAGCACCAAAACATTCTTCCGTATCCAATTCTTCAGGCTTCATCCCATTTGGAAGTTTCCAATCAAAATGATAAAGCAAACTGGAAATAAGCAATTCAACGACTGGTGCAGCAAATGCAATTCCAGGACATATTCTTCTTCCAGCACCAAATGGGATAAATTCAAAGTTTGGACCATTGAAATTATAATCAACTGCGGTATCAAGGAATCTCTCTGGAACAAATTTTTCTGGTTCATTCCAATATTTTGGATCTCTCCCAATTGCCCAAGCATTAACGATAATCTTAGTTTTTGCAGGTATCTCATATCCATTAATTTCACATCTCTCACTATTCTCTCTAGGAACCAATAATGGTGCAGGGGGGTGCATCCTTAAGGTTTCTTTGATGACAGCAGTAACATATTTCAACTGGGGAATTCCTGATTCATCTACACACCCTTTGCTTCCATAAACTTTCTAACCTGTATACCAAACAAAAGGAATTCTAAATTATTATTTCATCAATCAACACAACTTTTTGCATGATTGTACCTCTTCTTGCGCCTTCTTCATTGCCACAGGGTTTCTAAGTAGTTCTGTCATAGTCCACTCTGTCGTCGTTGCTGTTGTTTCAGTTCCACCCACGAAAACATCCTAAAAATGTATTTAAAGACATGATTCAAGTGTCTCTTTATGTGTGTGTATCAAAAGATAATGATTATGCAACATCACTAACCAGAATAACAGCTTTAATGTTGTCAGAAGATAAGGGAATCTCGAGGTCATCATCGTTCTGAATCCTGAGAAGAACATCAACCAGATCTTCAGTCTCACCAGTACCGTTAATCTTCTTTTCTTTGTGATCAGTCATGATGCTTCCCAAGATCCTATCAATCTCGTGATGGATCCTTATCATTGTAGATTTGATCCCAGTGATCACGCTGAGGAATCCGAGAGAAGGATAGAAATCAATAACATTTAAGCCCGTGGTCAGCCGAATCGCATGCTCAATGGTGGGCAGGATGGCTTCAACGTTGTTGGTCTTTTTACCAAACGCTGCTCTTGCGACTATGGAATTTGTGAGAGGGAAGATTTTCTTACTGAGGTTCATGGCAGAACCTTCATGCTCATCAATGTCCTTCATCAGTGCTGAAACCTCCTCTTCCCTTATGGCTTTGAAAGTCTGGACCCTCTTGGCAGAAAAAAGCTCCAAAGTGCAAATCTTTCGGAGCTGCCTCCAATAGTTTCCGTAGGAGGAAAAGACAATGTCGGAGCTACTGTAAGCAAAGATATCTGTGGCAAGAATTTTGGGTCTATTGGCGAAGATTTGGTCATGCGTCTTCGTAACCTCTTTGGCCATTTCTGGAGAAGACACGATGATGTGTGGAAGCTGACCAAGTTGAAGGTGCATCAAGGGTCCATACTTGTTAGCAAGGTCTCTCAGAGATCGAGTAGGAATGGAGCCTGCAAGTTGATGAAGGTTTCCTATGAGAGGTAACCTGGGTGGCCCGGGAGGTAAGTTTTGACTGCGTTTTCTGGAATTGGAAAGCTTGTGGATCACCAGGATGAAGCACAAGGAGGTGAAGAGGATAGCATAAGGGCTCTGAATCTCCATGTCCAGAAAAATGATTGTTCAGAATCAGAAGTTTGTTTTGTCTGTGAAGTTTCGAGCAGCAAAGTATTGGTTTTATATATTGAGCGCTCGATGAGATCTGAGAGTTCCACAGGGACCATATAATGAATTCCAAAAATGGACACTTTCCTGACTTTGTAGTATTACTTGAGGGTGATTGACTATTTGATTATGCTATGTGTCTTGGGCTATAATTTGTATGTAATCACTAGTTTCTTTGTTGGAAAAGTGGGCTGCGTAATTCTATAATTTTTCTCTCAAATATATAATTTCATTAGAACTTATTCTTGATTTAATCTTTAATTAAGTAGCGTAATGAATTATAGATTGGTTAAGAGGAATGCTTTGTTGAGAGAATAATCCAGAAAATGCTTGAAGCTAAGTTCAGCTTTAAACTGGAAAAGCATTAGAAGCAAGACGAATAGAAGCAATGAATTTCATATAAAATATTAGCAAGAGTTGCTTTGAAGCAACAATTAATCTAAAACCGTGTTTTTAATTTATGTTTTTCTTTTTTAATTAATTTTATTTGCAATTCCCTTAATTTTGTATTGTCTTAAATCTTGATTCAGATAAGAATGCATAATTTTGATATACAATAATCACATAACTTAATGATAAATTCCTGTGAAGATGATTCTACATTTATCAATTTTTTTAAATTCAAAAGCAATTATGTTATAAAAAAGAAAATGTAAAAAGTACATAAAAAGTAATTAAGAAATTAAAATTTCAAATGAAGACATTTGGAATTAGGTGGGTGGGGGAATGGAAAACACATGAAAATGGAACAAGTATAATGAGGGAGGCATTGAAAAAAGTAGAAGATATCCCACATTTATCGTTTGGATATTGGGGATTGGGCCTTCTGAAATATCTTCTGTATATTTACAACATAATCGATCTTCACTTTTTTTCTTGGCCCAAAAATTGATCTTCACTTTGATCTTCATGATTGTGATCTCTTCTTCAGTTGCCAACCCTGAGTTCAGTTCTCCTGTTGTAGTTAAGGCTTATTGTATGGATCCAAGATTCAGGCCCGATGTATGGGTTTATTGTGGGCCTTTAGTTCAAGAATTGAAGTTCTCTAGCCAATTTTATGGGCTGATTCATTTAAGGTGGCCATTCTAGACGGTTTTCTTTAAGGATAGGGAACTTTATGTAATGTGTTAACCTAATTCTAATGATTTATTGGAAAAAATTACAAAAGAAAAACTTGTCATCAATTCTTCACCTCACATCCACGTGTCACCAAAATGTTCTTTACTCACATTTGCCCAAACCCATCACTCAAGACACCTTGCAAATATTAAAGGGAGAATTTCATCATTTAAAGATCATAAGTGTACATATTTTTAAACCAATCCCACATAATTTGGAATTTTACTGCAGGATGTTGGGCCTAAATTGAAATAAAATCATAAAAGAAAATGACCAAAACATCTTTTTTCGAACATGCTAAGCATAACAAGTAATATAAGAGAATTAATAAGTAAAGTAAAGCATTTAACAAGTAACATAGTTGATTAACAATAGAATTCCATGTGACATAAGTTAAATCTATTACTTGTTAAACCGTTATCATAACTTGTAAAATCAACTACATTACGTGTTAAAAGTTATACTTTACTTGTTTCCCTTGTGTTACTTATTACGTCCAGTATGTTTCCAGCTAACCTGATTACTCCTCCTTGAGAGGACTTGTTTTCTTAACTTTACTTATGTAATACCTTACATTATTTACTAACCCTGTAACTTTACTTGTGAAGTCTATGTGACAATTTGAATCTATTACTTATTAAGATGTTTAAAATTAACTACATTAATTGTTAAAGATTTTACTTTATTTGTTAATTCTCTTGTATTACTTGTTATGTTGCAACATTTGAAAAAGGATATTTTAGTTATTTTGTTTTAAAATTTTATTTCAATTCAAGCCCAACATCCTGCAGTGGAATTCCAAATGGTGTTAGGCTTGATTTGAAAATATGTCACATCCATGATTCTTAGATAAAATTCTCCTAAGATTATAAGGTACACAGGAGGAGTAAGAACCATGGGGGTGCTAACAAATGCACGGGGTTGAAATTCAGAGTAGAGCCAACATCCAAAAAATAAAACTAATTTTACTACAAAAAAATTGCAATATAATTTATACATAAATAATTTTCATATATATATATATATATATAATAGACAGAGTTATCTATTATTTTTATCTTATATTGAATTTGTTTAGTAAATATATTATTTATTAGATATCAAGTTATGGCTTTCTTGAATTTCGTATTGCTTTTTTCTTTATTTCGCAAGTTTTAAAAATGTTCATTACATAAAAATTATTGCAACATATAAGTAAAGACGGTTTATAGGTGTAATATGAAAATTACAATGAACACTGAACCATATTACTTACTTATTTCTTGCAATTAGTAAAGTTTTACAACAACTAAACAAAAAGGACAGAACAAGTCACTGAATTACTTTTATTCAAAGTAAAAACGATCCAGAGATACCACAGGGCCATGGAAAATAGAGACAATTATAGATTATAGAACTAGGGTTGATAAACCACTGGGACTAGCCAGAGATTCTCAGTTCTTCTCGTACTTGCAGCAAACATCTCGGACATGTCAAATTCTTCATGAGTGATTCCATTTGGTAGTTTCCAATCAAAATGATACAGCAAATTGGCTAGTGGAAGCTCAATGTTAGGTATGGCGAAGCTAATTCCAGGACATATTCTCCTTCCACCACCAAATGGTATATAATCAAAGTTTGTTCCTCTAAAATCAATTGGATTATCCAAAAATCTCTCTGGCTTGAAGGTATCAGCATCATCCCAAAACTTGGGATCTCTTCCTATTGCCCATGCATTGATAATGATTCTGGTCTTTTCAGGTATCTCATATCCATTAATCACACATCTCTCAATGTTTTCTCGTGGAAGAATTAGTACCCCAGGTGGGTGAAGCCTTAAAGTTTCTTTCACAATTGAGTTCAAGTATTTTAGTTGGTGAATCTCACTTTCACCCACAAACTCTTTTTCTTTGTAGATCTTTCTAACCTCTGCTTGAGCCTTTTTCATTATCTTTGGGTTCTTTATCAATTCTGCTATTGCCCACTCTAGAGTAGTTGATGATGTCTCGGATCCAGCCATAAACATATCCTGAAATATTACAGAAGCCAGATATATTTATTTTATCATGTGAATTGACATGTAGTTAGATGCTTACTTTGAACACCCCAATATTTTGTAAAGAGTAGGCGAAGAATATTTGAATGAATCAATTTGGTTCTTTATGTATATTTAAATCATTGGGCTTCTATAAAGTCATCAAAACCCATATATAATAGTCATGACATGATGAATTCTCTAAACTCTTAATTTCAGCCTGTTGATGACTTCTAACAAGGTATAACTTTTGGATATTAGACTGATACTCTACTCCATTATACAAAATAGTTACTAATTATTGGATCTCATGCACTATATGCCTGTTAAACAAAATGATATAATTGTTCATTAATATACTCTTCTATGAAATTAAATAAATGAAAAGTTCACAATGAATAAATTTCTTAAACAAGCATACTGACCAAAAGGACGACTTTGACGTGGTCTTGAGTTAAGGGATGCTCTGAATCTTCTTCCTGCTGAATCTTTAGAAGAACATCAAGTAGATTCTCCTCATCATCACTTTCATTGCCTATGGCTTTTCTTTCTTGGTGATCCCTGATGATGTTTTCGATGATTCCGTCATTCAATTTGTGGATCTTTTCAAGTTTTGCTTTGATCCTTGTAATCACTTGGAGTGCTTTGATAGAAGGAAAGAGATCAACAACTGAGAAACCTCCCACCAGCTTCATGATATACCGTATAGTAGATAAGAAAGCTTCTTGATCTCTTGACTTCTTGCCAAAGGCTGCTCTTGCAGTTATGGAATTTGTGGTTGTGAAAATTTTCTCACTCAGATTTATGAGCGACCCTTCATTAGAGCAAATATCTTTGATGAGGGCAGAAACTTCCTCTTCCCTTATGCACCTAAAGGACCTAACACGCTTTGCCGTGAAAAGTTCCAAAGTACATATTTTTCGTAGTTGCCTCCAATGGTTTCCGTATGGAGAAAATCCAACATCTGTGTTGTTGTAAAAGATGATCTTGGAAGCAAGGACATGAGGTCTATTAGAGAAGATAATGTCATGGGTTGTGAAGATCTGTTTGGCAATTTCTGAGGAAGAGACAATGACATTGGATGTCTCTCCAAGTTGAAGGTGCATTAAGGGCCCGTACTTGTTTGCCAAGTTTCTCAAGGCGTGATGGGGTAGTGACCCTGCAATTTGATGGATGTTCCCTATAAGAGGTAACTTCCATGGCCCTGGAGGTAGGGTTAGGTTTTTGAAGGATTTCTTGGGATTTGATCGCTTATAGATCAGAAGAAGGAAGCAAAACAAGGTGAAGAGGAAGATTTGAATCTCCATGGTCAAAGAATTGCGATGTTATAAGTTGTATAGGGTAGAACTAATTATATACAAGTTGCGTCGCATTAGGAGAAGGATACTTACGTTTAATTTCCTACCATGTATTGTCAAATGTTAAATGTGTATCAATTTCTTTAAAAAAATCTATCTAAATTCTTAAATTTAAATTTATTAACAATTTAATTACCCTTTGAAACTGTAATAATTATAGTTTATAAGATCTTCTCTCTTTATTTTTGGGCTAAATTTCATTTCATCTTTAAAATCACGCTAATTAAATGTTCCTTTCAGTCTTGTTACTCTCTCTGCTAAAAAATATAAGATATTTTTCTGAGGTTTTATGTTTAAAAATATAACTTTTTTTTAGTTTTTTAATGTATAATTCATTTAACTTTTCATCTTTGAGTGAGATATTCTAATAAATAAAAGCAAACAAAGAAAGATGATCTTAACTTAAAAACAATTAATTAACCTATTATAATGTAATTTGATTAAAAATTATTTATTTTTTTAATGAAGGAAGCAGAAGTTACTTTTAACAACTTCACTAAAACTAATAAAAGATGGTTAACTCATTAAATCTATCTAAAATTAAAAAATATATTTTAATTTTTTCCCATGAGAATCATATAGAAAGCACGTACTCGATTAGAATTAAATTCTTCTTTTTAATAATTTGCAACATGGGGAAAATTAGAAAGTGTTAATTAATAACCCTATATATGATTTACATTAAAAATAAAAAATTTTAAACACACCTTATAATAGAAACAGGAGGGGTACACTGTACGCTCTTCTAAGTAGCTCTTGCATTTCAATTAAAGAAAAACATGATATAGCGGATTGACATTTCAAGTTCCTCACACTGAAAAAGTAATTTCCTTATTTTGGTAATAATTTTTTTTCTTTAATTTCATGTCTGTGCGTTTTGCTAAAGACCCACCTGGTTCTTTACTATTTGCTCCCCGTCGCGGCTTGATTTCAACTCACGTCTCGATCACGGTTCAAACTTTGATTCTGGACAGTCCAATTTGCTCTAACCAATTAATTAGTTCATTCAACTTTTGACTAACTACTTAATTAGTTAATTAATCAAAACTGAAACTACCAGATTTCAGATTAATCAGTGTTTAAAGCATATGTCTTACTATAAAAAATAATCAATTCAATACTCCATGTCTCCGTCCATATGACCGTCAGCCCAAGAAGTTAAGGCATTGTTTCAAGGGAAAATTATGCATGGGCCCTGTGAAACAGACTTATTTCATGAAACTTATTTATAAATGAGTTTGTTTTATGGGACTTATATGTAATTTCCCTTGTTTTTAATATTAATAGGTCAATTAAAAAACGTGTGGCTGCTAATTAAAATCATTGTTGAGTAAATAATGAATATAATTTTTCGCCAAAAACACCATAACATATAATAACCATGTCTCTGCACAATCAATTAATTTTAAAAGGTAATTTAAAAGTAAACTATTACGAGAAACTTGGACTAACCACAAAATTAAACCATACTTCAATAAATTCAAAATTTAATTTAAGAGAATCCATCAATATTTATTGTTTTTTTCCGCTTTCTGTTGTATTTTAGGTTTATCTGCTTCCCTTTTTTTGATTTTGATAATAGTGTAATAGTTTTCTGGTGATTAATAAAATTGGACCTTTTTCTGTTAAAAAAAATTCCTAATTCAAAACCGAAACAGCCAGTGTTTGAAGCATTTGATTACACAACAATTAAATACTTCTTCTAAATTACAATATAAAGCACATTCTAAAAGCCTTGCTTAATTCAAAATATAAGACATTTGGTAGCTTTTAATTATAATTTTTTTCAACTATACGATGCTTTATTTATTACTCTTTTTAAGAAAATAATAAAGTCTTGCTATGCTTGGTAGGAGAGAAAGTGAGAGGGAGAGAAAAATAAAAGAGAAAAGTGAGGAGGAAATGACCTTTTTTCCCTGCTTGGCTATAAAGGGAAAATCAGGAGAAAAATAACATGTAAGACTCACATATTTTTACCTTTAACTTTTCTCTCCAAATATGAAAAGATTTTGGAGAAAAAATTTTATTTTCAAATTTACTCACCAATTTCAAATTTGATATTTATAGTGTAGTTACATTTTAATCATGGATTTTTGTTAAACAAAAAATATATTTAATTTTTAGATTAATTAGATAAATGTCAATTCTAAATTTTCAATTAAGTTCCTTATATTTGGTTGTAGTTTTAAAATTTTAAAATTATTATATATTTAATAATTTAACAAATAAAATTATAAATTGGATAAAATAATTTTTGGTCAATATTGGATAAAATAATTTGTAATTATATTTTTTTTCAATCAATAATATATGATAGAAATTATTATATATAATATGTTAAAATATTAAATATTATTATATATAAATATTTTTATAAATAATAAGTTTATTATTATTCACATAAAATTAACAATTTTTTTCCATTCTATTTTCTCTTACTTAGCCAAGTACAATGGAAGAAAATTGCATCCGTCTACCATCAAATTTTAATTATTGTTATCAAGGCACTTATATAGAATATTTAATGAAGGTATAATTAAAAAGATGAAACTTTTTTTTAAAAAATTAATATTTAACTAATTTTTTTTGATAACTAGAGGGAGTAGTTATTATTTTTTGATTTTTTTTTGTGAATAGTAGAACTATTTTAATATTTTTTTAAAATAAACCGACATACATATCAGATGGCAAAAAGTATTCATTCACAAACATGATTTGTTGTTTTAATATATATTATAACTTGTTTTTAAATATTTATATGATTTATATTATATTAAATAAAAATAAGTATATTATAAATTTATTTTTTAAATATTTTCATGAGATTTAGTTATTTATGGATGTATTATTCTTCATATCCGAACAATCACTTATACATATACGGACATGATTTGTTCATACATTAAAATAATTGTCAAATTTTTAAACCTAATTTTTTTAACAACTTGTTGTTTAAGAATTGACATTTTATCTATATTATGCTAAGTAAAAAAAAATATGTTATAGGAGTGCAAGCACAAGGGCATTTGTGTTATTTGTTAAATTATTATACATTTAATAATTTAACAAATAAAATTATAAAGTGGATAAAATAATTTTTGATCAATATTGGATAATAATTTGTAATTATGTTTTTTTCAATCAATAATATATGATAGAAATTATTATATATAATATGTTAAAATATTAAATATTATTATATATAAATATTTATAAATAATAAGGTTATTATTATTCTCATAAAATTAACAGTTTTTTTATTTCTATTTTTTCTTATTTAGCCAAGTACAATGAAAGAAAATCGCATCCATCCACCATCAAACTTTAATTGTTATTATCAAGACACTTATATAGAATATTTAATGAAAGTATAATTAAAAATATGAAACTTTTTTTAAAAAAATTGACATTTTAACTAATATTTTTTGACAACTAGAGGAGTAGTTATTATCTTTTGGTTTTTTTGTAGATAGTAAAACTATTTTAATATTTTTTTAAAATAAACCGACATACATTTCAGATAGCAAAAAACTGTTCATTCAAGAACATGATTTGTTGTTTTAACATATATTATAACTTGTTTTCAAATATTTATACGATTTATATTATATTAAATAAAAATAAAAATATTATAAATTTATTTTTCAAATATTTTTATCGGCTTTCGTTATTTGTGGATGTATTCTTCTTCATATCCAAACAATCATTCGTACATACATTGACATGAGTTGTTTATACATTAAAATAATTGTCAAATTTTTAAACCTAATTTTTTTCAATTTTTTTAACAACTTGTTGTTTAAGAATTGACATTTTATCTACATTATACTAAATAAAAAATATATATGTTATAGGAGTGCAAGCACAAGGGCATTTGTGTTATTTATATGATAAATTAATTACAATCAAGTGCCATGAGATTTAAAATCATATTTTTTTCAAATTCATGGGGCTTATTTATAAATATTTTTTACATGTGACTCATTTGTAATTTTCCTATATTTATATTATAAACAATATTTCTAGCTATATTTTTATACAGTCAGTTTTCCAAAAGGTCGGCTTTCAAACATTTGCTTATATTAAATAGATTGAATAATATGTATTATGCATGGGCATTCATGATTCATGCAGATCCTAGCGTTTTGAACTGTTTTGTCTCTTCATATGGTTTATAATTTGATATAGGCCGGGAGGCTAGTTTATTTAATTAAATTTGTTAAAAAAACATTATTAGTTTCGTACTCATAATGATGCCTTTGAAATTAAGGTCTAATACAAAAAACTTATGTAGTTTCTTTCATTGACTTCTTCTGATGGCCACGTTTCATTATCGTTGGAGAAGTAGAGTTGTACATGGCAATGTTGGGCAAGGCTAAGCCTTTACTTGATGCCCACCCCAAATGATAGATGAGTTGTATTTTAAAACTCGCTACCCGACTCAGCTCATGACCTAATACTTTGGACTAGGCAAAACACGTTAGGCATTATGGGGCATCTTTATGTCCAAGTGGTGGTGCCATGTCCATGATATATGAAGAAAACTTCAATAAAATATATGATAAAAAAAATATATGAGAGTCAAAAAAATATTAATTGTGAAAACATGAAGGGAATGAGAGGTTTGAAATAACTGAAATTTTAAATGAAATATATTAAGAAATGGACTAAATTCATAAATTTTTGTGTTTTTTAAAAAAGAGAATGAGAAATAAAAAAAATATGAGAGTCAAAAAAATATAATTGTGAAAACATGAAGGGAATGAGAGGTTTAAAATAACTGAAATTTTAAATGAAATATATTAAGAAATGGACTAAATTCATAATTTTTTGTGTTTTTAAATGAGGGATTTGATCCAAATCCAAATCCTCATCAATCCAAACATAGTATTAATTTTTTGCTTATTTTAGAGTGGCTATTATGTATTGTGGTGCATTTTGACTTGTTCTGTTTTCGAATGACCGAGACACCT